GAAAAATGCACTAATCGAGCTGCATATGCAGATGGATTGCGAACTGACTTGGCCGGGTGGCTGTGTTATTTTTACCACCTGGCTGTACCACAGCTGTCATGTCGTTCAGAGTAGGTCAGTGGGACACACGGTTAACGGCACCCTGTCCGGATTTGCTCGTCACTGCGGTCTCCATGGGAACAGCCACAGGATGCCTGCACTTACGTAGGGACCATGGTTACTCACAGCCACAACCATACACCCCATATCCAATGTACGCCCTAAGGAATAAGACCGGGAGGTACATGGATGGCAGCCATGTTCCATCAACGGCGATGGCCCACACTCCTTCAACATACACAGTATCAGCTTTCCTGTCTATCTCAATTGTGAATCATGTGTACCAGACGTACATAAAGTGGTGGCTGGGCCGCAGTCCGCTCCACACCAGATGGAACCACTCATTGAGCCTAGCAGGGACACATGCACCTTGCGCACCGTCCCCCCAAGAACGATTCAGTCTCCCGGATCCAGCAATCGAGCTGGAGGGTGTTAGACAGGTTGGCACCTTGTCAACATTTATGTCCGGGCCAGACACGCCGGGGATATCACACAACCAACAGAATTTAATGGAAAGCAAAAACACAAAAATGACAGAATATGCAGCAGAAGAACAGGTTTGACCAAAGCAAATAAAGTAGAGTGCTTTTTGTGCAGGTCAAGATTGAGTTTGAGGGAAACTCGGTGTAGCGCAACTGCGGTGACGAATCATGATGTATGCAACATCAACTTCAACATAACACACAAATACACTACTTACGTATACACATGAGAACATGCATCCGGCATACAACTGGTTGCCTTGTAGTATAGTTGCACAATTATTGAACTTGCGTGTTGGCATTCCCATGGTTACTTCTATACTGTCGAGAATAAACAGTTTATTTTTTAAAAGTTGCCAATGTCAACACAATTCGGCAAAACGCATGTAAAGTGCCGAAACAAAATGAAATAAGATCCCATTCAGAGGATATGGAGCGTTGACTCGCTTTACGAATGAGGCATCAATGTTATTATGCCCCGTCATTGGAGTGAGGATGCAAGCGGAACATTTGAAACAGCAGAAGCATAAAAAACACAAGAGTTTAATTCAACAAATTAATAAGATAATGGCCCCGGTTAATGTTTATGCCGACCTATGAGACGAATCAACGTCCCCACAAGTCAGTTTGTGCTGCCAGAAGACAGAAATAGGACAGAAAAAGCTTAGGATGCGTAGAAAACAAAAAAACAAACATACATACATGGGTGCACGCAAACATGTGCACATACGTGCATATGTGTGCATACAATTCCAAGTTCTAACACTTTCTATGATACGAAACGCAGGTATGTACTGGCGCTCAATCGGAACTCAAAGATTAAAATTGTGACACTATTCCCTGTGAGCCATTCAGCACTACCGTGGGTCGTCAATCCAAACCTTGATGTCTTGCCCCATTCCAATCTCTATATTGCTTCCCAAACTGTCCTTCCGTTTCCCCGTGCACCGGCATATTGGTTTCGCTGCAGAGCACGTGTTGCACAAACCATACCGTTCGACTGACTGCTACCTCTCCAGCTATCCGAAATGGTCTAACATTCCCTACATGTGCAGTTTTATCACCTCTCCATGATCACCATACTCGCCTGTACATCTCCATCCGGACCGATGCTCACTGTCCGTTGGCTTCTTCTACTTTACCATTGTACCTGTGACCCCTAACCGAGATTCACTTCAATGTGAATCGCGGTCAACATTGTGATTGCGTGTCGCAATCCATCCACACAACGTGTACTTCACAATGACACTCAACCTCGTCCCTTACCGAGTGCTTCAAACAGATTGACCTCATTCCACTTCAACGCTCACTCGGTCCTCGTTCTATTCGTGTGATTGGCCAGTCGCACCATTCCGCTTATCATATAAGCACGCTATGTACCATGGTGCCTTCAATTTGTAACCCGGTCGTCATGCAAATTGGCTTGTTGATTCTAGGACCCAAGTACCCGCGACTGTAGGTAATTTTGTTTTGAAGCGGTATCGCTCGAGCACGTAATTCTTACTTATTTGTTTGTAAATATTACGATTACTCAGTTCCGACCTAGTAGCTGATTTGATCCTAATAAAAACGTGTTGTTCACCCCTTCCGAAATAATTTGGTCGTTTAGAATATACCTGGTTTTCTGGCCATCAAAAACTTGAGCGAATACTCACTTGGTTCTACTTCACCGCTGTCATCCGGTTAAATCCCAGGCTAATGCAACAAGTTGCACTAGGTCGCATACCCTTAATTGCCTAGGTTTAGTAACTCATTTGGGTGCCTGTCTATTCACCTTCATCATCCCTATCCGAGGGAGAAATACGATGTTATTTCAAAATCTCCCGGCAGAATCTGTTGCTGCAGGGAGCGGTAAAAGCTTGTGGTTCCCAGTATGATATGGCTCAACAAGCTGCAGGACTCATTGTGTCATCCATATTCCTAGGGTGTCGATAACGTTATGACTGACTTCCTAGTGCTAGCAACGCACTGAAGTATCACCATGATAAAGCGGAGCTAATGTTTCAGGCAGTGCAACTTAAGTACTTCAAAGATCTCAGTTACTGGCGAGAATGTACTGTCAAACGACTTATCTCCTGCCAGGAAGTAAAACTATCTTAATTGTGCAATTACGGCCTGAAAGGCGAATGGGCTCAATCGATATCCGGTAACACAAGCAAGTGACAGTAAACATAGCATGCGGCCGAAGGCGAGGCATCCATTCTCGATAGAGTGAACCATTCGATTTTACAATCCATATCATCAACCGCCACTTTCCACAGGCCAAAATTATGGTTCGATCGATTGCCGGGACTAAAAATAATTTCCGTGATTCAACGGATCATTCTAGGCAAATTTGCCAGCTCCCAATGGCCTTTTATCCAAAAGTGTCGCAATCAATTTGTATGATAATTTCGTACGCACACATTTGTCAATGATCCAAACAAACGGATGTGAATCTCTGTCGCCTCAATCATAATAATAATAACAGCAACAGCAATAATAATGATAATGATAATGATAATAATAATAATAATAATAAGCAGCATCAGCAGCAACATCAGCGGTTGTAGTAGTAGATGTTGTAGTGGCAGCAGCGGAACCAAGCGTCATCATCATCATCATCATCGTCATCACCATCATCATCATCATCAACAACAGCATCATCATCAACAGTAACTAATACATTAACCTTTGTAGCTTATGCTTCAATGCCCTACAATTCACATGACGCACTCACACCAATCTACTCTGTACCCGGACTTTACACACAGCAAGTCAGCTGCTGCCTGCTATCGAGAACAGAGGCGATCGCAATTCGGATACATAACCCGGACCTGTGGACACAGAAAACTCTTCCGAACTCTCACAGTACCTCGGCCACGGGCCAACAGGACTACTAGTGGCCGTCACACCACTTCACCCGACTTCTCACATCAATAGGACTAATCAAGTTGACTTATCTAGTGGATTTTTTGCTTCAGTGACTCACCGAATTCAACCTGTTGTATTCGTTCTAGACTTTTTTTTATCCTGGTTGTATTAAGCTGCTGATTATACCCTTAATTCGCTATGAGTTTCTACCTTATTCGTTGGTTATACAAATATACGTGATCTGATCCTTTCATATCTGGGTTCACTTGGGATAACACAGAGAAATTTTTGCCGTTGGAGAGAAAGCTTCTGTTAACATATCGTCTACTGTGTTGACTAATAGCAAATTGACGAATGTCGCCTTGTATCTTTAAGCCCAAGTGTTAATTTTCCTTTTGGCTGAATAATGTAACTCTCTCTTACAAGCTATCCTTTTATATAATCATATCCTCTGCCTTCACACATAGTTAATACTAAACAACTATCTATGTACGGTCTGAGATTTAGGCAGACCGGATAAATGAGACTTATCTTAACCTGTTCTTCTCTATTGATTCGTCCTTTGCTATTACTCATGTTGTAGACCTACAGATGGTTTAGGAAGACATAACTACTTCGGTGCGTTGGATAAATCAGCTTTTCCTTGGCTCTCCATTATTCCTTTTCCGAACTTATTGAGATGAGAGCTGTATAGGTGCTTGCGAAATGGAGCACATTTGAGGATTGAACTTTTGATACTCTCCTGCACAGTAGTCTATTATATGTAACTTATTACCTTTTCATTCATTTTTTATATGTCACCACCTGCGTGAAAAACATCATTGGTTTCGAATGCTTGAAATCGTTCGTACCCAAATTAGCTGTTAATCTTGTCAAGTCTGCATTGTTGTCAGCTCTCGCTCACTCACCCTGATGGTAAAAGGATTGTCATCTGCCACTAGTATAATCGAGCATCTACGCTTTTATTTGTGTAGCTTGTTTTATTATTCCCCCACTAGTTACCATTTTCTTTTTATTGTACATTCCACCTGAATGACCCTCAACACTATTATGAATGCTATCTGATCCGAAGTTTACTTGAGACGAAATTTATAGTTAATAGATAGAAAAGAGACTAAATTTGACCTTAGCAAACAGAGCCTGCAATGTCTCTTTGCCTTTCCATCGTACACTATGATAGAACCAGTTCGCTGGATCGTGTCTTATTTCGCTGAGCCTCTGCCTACTATTTTTCTTAGTACCATTATGATTTGTATTATTATTATTATATTGACGAATGTCATGTTTCCTCTTGGCCACACAAATTCATTCAGGTTTCAAGCGGCCTTCGTTGCCAGCCATCACCCAAATTCTTGATTCCGAAGCCTTCGTAATAGACTGAAGGCATAATATGGCTCGCTTGTCAAGTGAATTTATGGTATGTTATTTATGGTGCATGCAAGTACGTAAGTCTTCACCAGCCTAGGGTCATTAGCAGCCCTAAAAACCAGGCTTTCTCAGGAAAGAAGCAATGTACCTGCAGCTTGAAACTGACATTTGTAAACGGATATGAGTATGGTGACTCACTGTATACTCATACGTCTCGTATTCAAAATCAGTGTACCGTATCAGAGGCTCAGTCAGCTCTGGTCGATTGTCAGCATCATCATCCAAATCAAGCACTTTTCTCAGGCATTGTAGGTATTCTTCTCGGCTTGTAATGGGCAACTGTGTTTTATCATCTTTCCAATTGCCGTTCTTTACAAATGCATACAAGAGAAAATAGCTTCCTTCGTTTTTATTCATTCCATACATCAGGGTGCCGGTCGGCTTGAGGTGCGACATTTGGCGAAGGCGTTGACCATTTTCGTACGGCAGAAAGTGATTGTCCAGCACAGGTGGAAAAGGGACGAAGAAGTAGCTGGAGGGATCAAACATAGCGTCGTGTGCGTCCAAAATTTCCACCGCGCTCTTCTTCCGAAGGCATGATATGCGATCTACTAAGGAGTAGCTGTTGCAGCCAAGGAGCTGTGTGAATCTAAGATGGAAGAGCATTTCATTGGATAAAATCTGATAGCATGACGGACTGGCTTACGTCACTCAATTTCAGCCACAACAACAAGCGCGGGCACGCCAACAGCGGTGTTTACGCTTGAGTGTAACGTCTAACATCAGTCAATGCACTGCATGTTTCAGTATCATTCATAGCGCATCGCGTTGGTACTTTGAAGCACGTTACATTTGGTACAATTCCACAATTCCAACAACAACGACCCACCTACTACTACTACTACTGCTACTACTACCACTACTACTACTACTACTACTAGTACTGCTACTACTAATACTACTACTACTGCCACACATCGATGAACAATGCAACTCCGTCGATACCGCAATCAAAGAACAACTAGGACAACCAAGCGCCCGCCACTTCCACATCAAACCAGGGAGGGCATAGCTACGTGAAATGTGGGAAACGATTTTGCAACATCTTTTGACTAGTCGATGCAAGTATATTAGGCGCTAGCATCAGTATACGCTGGATTGTTGTGAATGTTACACGACGACGCTAAACCCTGAATGCTTTGATTTGGTAGCTATGTAATAGATAACTTACGCCAGCTAACAGTCAATACCATCAATAGAGAAACTAGCTAGTTCATAAGCGAATGCAAACGACGAAAATGATGCGATTAGTACTCGAACAGGCTTGTGGTGGTAACCTGACTTTCTCGTCATTAGGGTGTCTCTTGGCTATCGAGGTGAGATCAACTGTTTCGAAAATAAAACTTGATGCATACACTCCATATGCTTGTAGAACGCGAACGCTCGGCCTTCTTCTAGGTGAGGGGAAATTTCAGCATGATATGAGCACAACGGCAACATGTCTAGGTGCTTTGCGCTGAGCTGATAATATAAAAGTAGTAGGTTGAATTTCTCACAGTAAACTAAATTGATCGACACGAATTGCCTGCTTGACGACGTCGCACCCGAACCATTTCTATGGGAGACCGTATGAGGATTCATCACCTTGCCAGTAACCGGGTTCAGTGCCTAAACTTGATTGAAAGTAGGAGTCTAATCAGGAAAGGGAATAGTTAATAAGTTAACGGCACAAACAGCATTGAGGTCCGCTCTTCCCCATGTCAACAAGTGTAGCCAACCAAAGTTGTTCATTGTTTTCCGGACCGCAGCACAGGAGTTGAGGAGGCACCAACCGAATCCACTTTCTAACAGAGCTTTTATTCGTTTTGGCCAAGTCATCAGTTAGCCTTCCCTCTTCATCCTCCATCCATACCCCGGTCGTGAAAACAATGCACAACGCGGAAGTCGGTGTATTGGCAGATGCAACAAGTGGCCTAGCCATAGGAGCTTGCTACCTGAAATAATGGTACCGAGTTGGTTACTAGCTCTTACTGTCCCATAGATAAAACTGGTACGACACTCTCTGCTCATGCGGTGTTAACAGCAGATATGATGCAAGCCGGATACCCAGCGTAACTAGCCACTTTAAGCCCTTTGATCTGATGGGCTAACTTTCACCACGATATGGTAAGGTTAAAACGAGGGGCGTATTGTAGACTCTGCTCTACGGGGCGAGACTGATGTCTCGTCAGCGCCACATGTTGCGAAGATTATCAACTGGTACCTTTTACTTATATCATATGGTTCGTCTATTCATCTTTTGTTTCTTAAGCCCTGATAGTCAAATATGTGCACGACTTATAGCTTTTCTCCAGCAACAGTTATAGGAAGGGGTGGAAGCCGCTAAACATAAAAGAAAGCTGTGCATTTGGAGCATGAGAAGCAAAAGCTCGAAACGATTAAAAGGCTGTGTTGCTCTGTCCAGGGCTGCATGCTGTGTGTTTTATTTCTAACAGATTTGGACAATATTGTTGGCATAATTCTAGTCGGAAAGTTGACTAAATGGAAGCATCCCCACATTTTCGAACTCGTGTTTGTCAAACATCTTATTCACAAGTTTGACAACGGTGAAATCAAAAGGAAAAATGACAATGCACATCCCTGTCGCACACCACTGAAGATATTTCACTGTGGCGGCTGGTCGCTATGGGCCCTCCATTTGTCTAAACTAGGTGCGCAAAGCGTTTTTAACATTTTCAACAAATTTTCGGGCGCGTCTTTTCTGACCAAACCGTCTCAGAGTGCACATTAACCTACCAAATCGAGAGCTCTTTGATGTTGAAGAACATAACTACAATGAACCGCTAGCATGTGGCTTTGCTACAACACGTGACAATAAATGCAGATGTGGGCAACGCAGCTTCGAGCTTGGCATAACATGACTTGCTCTTCACAAATCTGATTTTTATCAGCAACAATCAGTTTATGAAGTATGGCAGGGTAAGTACCTTGAATGCGATGCAAATCAGACTAATACCCTTCTGAGTGCTTTCCTAGCGGTAGTCACAAAGCAATCCAACGGGTCGGATTACATAAACAACAACATTAGGAAACTGCTGCAGACGGTGATCAATTTTACTGCAGAGAATCATTCAACACACTGAACTTAGTCCACTCATTTCAGACCAAGCCTCTAACCGCCATCTTTATTTTAGGCACCCCTATCATCCTTCACAAAAAGAGGCCAGAGAGTCCATTTGTTGCTGACCCAGGTCTCAGGGGCTGGTGTTAAACAGGATACATCCATCCATTGGTGTATTGTGGATTTGCCGTTGTTGGGGAATACCGTCTAGGAAGTGACAGGGACGGAGTGCAGCTAGGGGCGCCACTATCCTATGACCAAGCATACCAGGAGCCCTTAGAAAAGCCATGGTGTTAGGTGTGTCCTGCCAAATTGTGTGAAGGCTGCTGACAAGGACAACTCAGCTCTCAGTGACTTACATCGCTGTCATAGAGCACGAGTAAATGTCGGTCAGATATTCGCAGTGGCTTCATGTGATTAAAGCTGCAGTGTAAATCATACATCAGCTGTCATGGGGAAATGAAATCGATGCGTCCCCGAATATTCTGTGCATCGTGAGCTGTTCGACACACCGGAGCTTCTGGATGTGAACGTCTTGCGTTTACTTGACAACTTGAATGTGTCGTATAGCAGGATAACTCATTTGACCCTACCCTCCTGTTACCGAACCGGCTTACAAGGGCGGAAGCAAATAAACTATAGCTGATATGTCTCCTCTCAACGAATGTCCAATGTCTTCTGCTTATCTACGTGGTAGCACACTTACAAGACAAAGTGAATCAAAGTGGCTTACTCTAGTAACTGTTAATCTCTAGCTAGTAGAAGTTCGGTTCCTTGATGAAGAGTGAAGAAAACTGCGGACACCCAAGCCTAGTTACCGTAGAGTGTAAGTATGACGGTTACCTCTAGCCTGCGATTCCTGAAGCACAGCATACACCGACACAGCACTGAGTAGTGGTAAGAATACCTGCCGGTAATCTTCGACATTCTAGGACCTACTTCTGACTTAAGCAATCTTTGGGACTGAAGGGGCCATGCGAAGACGATACCAGTGGTTAATTGCCGTGTTATGAGCGCACGAGGACTAACGCTCACCTCAGTGTAAACCACAATCTAAATTGGGCTTGAATGTCATAATCCATGCGCCCGGCCTATAGTCTAAGGCCAAACATCAAAGTCATCGTGTAGTTTCAGTGAAGGTCGACGAGTTATTCGTTTAAGCTAATAGGAGTACCATCTTTTAAGTGTCAGCTGATGTTCTTTAGTATCAAGGTGACGATTATATGCCTATAAGTGCTAATCAGTCAATATAGCATGAAGTATGCTAGAGATATCCGCAGGCTAGTTTTGACTAAGCTTGCACCTGCGTTATATCAAGAAATGTTAATTTATGCACACTATCGATGAATAGTGCTAAAAGAATCCGGTCGGCATGCACTGCCATCTTGTTTACCAGCTTGTTTAACGTGCATCCCATATTTTACCGTCCACCAATGATGAATGCGACTACTAACCTGGCCGTTCTATTGAGAGCTTGTGCATTGGTCACAAGTGCCCAGTTCCCGTAAATGGTTCCGGATTGCATTATCGCATTTGTGAAATGCGAATGGGACCAAGGGCTGATTACGTGAGCGCTCACGCTTACTGCACCTGCAGATTCTCCGAATAAAGTTATGCGTTCCGGATCTCCACCAAAGCTATCAATGTTGTCTTTGATCCATTTCATTGCCATCCGCTGGTCCCAAAGACCCATGTTCCCTGGTACCTAAAATGGTCGATGGAGACTGCTTTCAGCAAATTATGATACGTCGATGACGATAATGCATTTCCAGAACAGTATTGGTTTGTGTTTTGAAATTGAATAGCACGCACTGCATATATAAAGGAAATAGATCGGCTCATCCTACCAGACGCAAGAAAATTCTATCCTCAAGGGGAAGTACTAGAAGTCCAAAACGACTCAACGATATCCACTTCCTTCTCACTTGTGATGAAGTTGGGCATTGACTTTAAAAAGAAGTTTGCTATGATCATTTCTTATTTTCCTTGACACTTAAAATGTACAACAATACACGGGTACAACTGGGTGAACAAACCTTTGATCGCTTAGGAACCTATAAAATTTCTTCCCTTATTGAACAAACGAGCGTATCCAGTACTAATTAGCTCAATTTAACTCAACGTTGTCCATTTGACATTCTCTCGACTGGCGGTTAATTCATTTTGTTTGTTGGGCCTTTACGGTTTTTCTTTCCAAACATTTTGTGTAGGTCGCTGGATTTAGAATTTTCGTCCCAGTTTGCTGAACTCCATCTACTGAAAACGTTGTCTTTGGAATAATTTTAGCAAAGATTGTGTCAACCGGATTTACAAATTTTGGGAGTATGTTGCCCTTATTCATGCGGAAAAGTTAGCGCCGTTGTAATCAACCATCAAATATTTAGACTTCTTCGGTACATGAGTCTTCTAGCTTCCCAACAACCCTCGTCTGTCCCGCTGCAATGTCTTGTGGGACAGTTACAGTGCAAATTACCTTACAACGGCAGACCTTTCCCAGTCCAACGAGCGTTAACTTTCGCCGCGCTTCATTTTAGTCAGTGAGATCAGTCAATCTGCTCTGCGCGATTACCACATACACAACTGGTCTGCACTAGTTACCCTACTTGTGACTGCATGACGCACGGGGGCAACACACAGAGCAAGCTGAGCTAGAAAACTGGTCTTGACCTGACGCTCGACAAGCGAACGCTAGCCAACGGAGATTTGCCGTTAGCCGGCGAACCAGGTGGCATCCGTTCGACTACCATGGCCACAACGCCTGTAACCTTAAAGGCAGTGCTAATCAGGCATGTGCTTTTGTAGTACAAATAGCACTAACATGTTCTCACTGTATCAGCCGTTACCATCCGAAATGCATCGGACCATGTCGTACCGAACAAAAGAACTATAAAAGTGTGTCCGGCTCAATTTTCTTATATTCTGAGTCTGATTCAAAGTGCTTACACTGTAAACAGCAGCTCAGTCAGAAACACTGGAATTTCCTTTGTGACCATCTCGAACTTCTCGCCAGGCCGACTAACTTAATGCGCATTAATAGACATTTAGTTTCGAATCACTACCATGAGTCTTGGGTAATTCGAGTAACCTTTGGGTTCACAGATGATGTCGAGACAGTTACTTTGTCCGTATACCGTAAGCGGAGTGAAGACAGTAGTAGGCGACAGCGCTGGCTTGGTGGCTGTCATCTATTGCCTCCCTTCTTCACATTCGAGATGGACTTCTAGCTGTCATACGCACGGCGGCCGGTGACAAACAGGAAGTAAAGCTACATTCTAGTTACTGGAATCTCCGAAGAACAGTTCAAGGCGAATTTACAAGCGATCGTATCCAGCCTCTCGTTGCATGGCCACATAAACACTCCCAGCAGACTCAGAGAAAATGAAAAGTCGACTATAGTTAATCAGATATTAAACAAAGAAGGACCGATGATAGAGAGGAGAATCGGCGATATCTTCTTGGTCCGCAGAGACCGTGTAGTCTTACTATTCGAATCCAAATGCCATGCAGAATATCCCGTGGAAATTGCTGCTGTAACGTGAACGCTTACGCGCCAAAACATATTGGCTCGACTAAGTGAGAAAATCAACTGGATCATTCTGGAAGTCTAGGCACAGGCTAACATATGGTAACAGTTTGTCAGCTAGCTTAAAACTGGTTGCGGAGGTGACATAAAGTAAGGATGTTCATCAGAGAAACGTGGTCAGGTTTTTGCGAAGCTAGACGCGCAAGTGCGTAGAGGTGGGAAACTTAGCCTGGTATATTTACAAACTCTCTCCGAGTACGGTGACTTGAACTTTGCTACTGTACCCAACTTGTTGGCGAGGACAAAATGTTATACCAGCAGAAGTTGACATTGCGTATTGTCTCGAAGCACAGGCTGCTGTAACAACAGCTAGAATATCTACGTAAGTTGATACGAGGAATTCATTCTCTCCAAACAGCGGACGCACTGTCACGGTCCCAGAAGAATGTTGCGAATACCTTGCGCCTGCAATGTGCCCCATGCTTTAAGTGCGATCAATGGACACCTAACCCGATGGCATGCATTGTCTCACCCTTATACCGACTCATATATCCTTCACGGCAGACACTATACTAAAAATGCTGTTGTGTATGAGTAAGCAAAGCTCTCCTGAAGTTGATAATATACGTCCGAAGTCAATTGCGACGACAGGAGAGAGCTTAGCTGAACTTTTGACTTGACCTTTCAAGCACTGTTTTGACGAAATGTACGTGCTAGACATGCAGAAACACGGGAGGACTACACCTATTCACAAGGGAGGTAGTCGTTCAGATGCAACCAACTATGGTCTCGTAATCCTACTACCGGTATTTTCAGAGAGCATGGAGGAAATTATTGCTTAGGTCCTGACGACCTACAGGGCAGAAGTTACCTATCTTGCGCCAAAATGGTATGGCTTCCGACATAATCGATGGTACGCTACAGATCTACTACTAGCACGACCCAGCTGAACTGAAGCAGTAGACACTGGTATAGCAGTTTATGCGGTTTTTCTCAACTTCTCAGAGAGATCTGACCACTTAGACCATGGAATTTTTCTTTTCAAAATGTGGTTTTGGGGCACTGGTGACGCTGTGCTAGGGTAAAGCAGAAGCTTTCACTTACACCTGCGCTTGGATGTAAGAGTACCTCAATCCTTATCAGATCCTATCTAAGTCGAATGGGGAGTACCACAGAGATCGGTACTGGGGTCAAAGTTGTTCTTGACATATATCGACGACACACTACATCACATAAGCTTGGAATGCTTACTCTATCCAGAAGACCTCAAAGTGTGTAGGGTGATAAATGCACTATATTATACTATGCTACTTCCAGCCGAGCTGGATAGAGTTTACGGATGGTCAAGTCAGAGTCTACTTCAGTTTAATGCAGATATATGCAGAGTGCTGTAATTACGGTACCGGCTGGCGCGATGCTATAGACTAAACAATCAGGAGCTGCAAACAACCCCCAATGAAATGGATCATACGTTTTGATCTTTGGATGCTCTAATGGGGCTGAAAACCCACCAAAACGTAAGCCTCCTGAGGCCTGCATTCGGATCATTCTACGCTTCGAGTTTTCGACAGCTTCTAAGCTCATACCTACACGCACAGGTGGAGTAAGCAATACAAGTCTAGCAGTCACAGCTGAGAAGAGATCAGTACCATCTTGGAGATTCCTACAGTCGGGAGACCAAAATCTCAATGGGTTATGCCATTTGCCGTAAGGGTAAAGGTTTAGAGTGCCCAGAGTCTTCAGCGGACAATACCGGCGATTGCGTGGGGACCTAATTTCGACTTTTCGGCTTTGATCACTGTCACAGCAATAACTTGAGAGCCCACCGTCACACTCTTGCAGAGCAGCACAGTCGTTTGGAATGCCGTCGGAATTTGTTTTCCGTACGCGTTTACCAAGCCTGGAAAGCCATACCGGAATCTGTCACCTGTGCTTCCACCTTGGTTAAGTTCAAAGCTCGAGTTAGTGCACTCATTGCGCTGCACCACCTCACATAACTCATTGTCCATGGCTGAACGCGAGTGTCTGCTTGTGATTTCACTGTCGGTCAGCCCTCAGAATACGTTTCAGCTTTCTCACTTCCTGAATGCGTTCACCAGAATGCGGCACGATCTTTACAAACGCCACATTTGTCGTCATTCCCTACGGACTTACAGTGTGTTTTCAGTTCTTAATACGAATATCGCGATGGGTCCACTGATGTGAACTTACTTTTTCGGATCCCTTTCCCATAGTTTGCAACATTCACCACGACCGTCCTACAGGACATGTTAGTTGAGCTTTTTACATGTATAAAATCATTGTTTCTTTAGGCCATTATGTTGTTCAACAGTCTGACTTGTTGAGGTTGTCTATTTGAGTAATTTGCTCAGCTGGGCCTTCATGACTGACAGGCCAGTAGGGGTACCAATCGAATCGGCTTCTCTTCATGTCTGACAATGGAACAATGGTTTTATACGGCTAAAAAAGCTTATGCTTAACATGTCACATAGGATGGCTATGATGAAACTTCAAAATAGTAAAAAAATATGGCTAGCGAAATTGGGTTTGCACCGATGAACTCACTGAGCTATACGTAGTGTAAGCTGTAAATCCATGGTAGATTCATAAAGAATGACGGCAAATGGGATGTTGGTAAAATAGTATCTCCTGCTGGTGTATACAACCAGGAGGTGAAAAATTGGAACGAAATCTGTGATTTGGCCGCCAGCGAAATCTCTTACAGATACTTGTGTTTATCCATGGGTAATGAGTCATGTAAGATGGTGCAGCGAAATAAGTGCATGGTCAACTGGGGCTTTGAATTCTGCCAGCGTTACACGTTCTGCAAAAGCCTACTGGAAAGCAATTCCGACGGCATTTCAAACTACTGTGCTGCTCCGCCAGCTAAGACCTGCTCCTTACAAGTTGTAATGTCCATTATTCACACAATCCACTTTATATCATCTACTCGAGATTTTTTACAACGTGACGGCTACTGCTTCTTTTAAGCGCTCTATAACCTCACTGGCATAATAACGAAGTCAGACCGGCAGTAGTGTCTGATTATTGATGGCAGTCTTCAGGAATCGATTACCCAGGATGATCACAGAGGTTTAATCATAGCAGTTGTTGATGTGCTCCCCTATCAAAAAGTCCCAGTGTAGCCCAGACAAACCGTCGATGTTTTAATGGCTACCTTGTAGCAAAGACCGGCAGCTTGAACAATTCACCTGGTTCACGTTGATAGTAGTAGCTTTTCATTAGTTGTCGATACTATAGATGTTGTTGAGTAGGTAGCTATCGGAGAAGAAACAGCCATTTTCAACCTAACGGGTAGAATGCGCCATTTTGCAAATGCTGCTATCCATGTGGCTGACTTACGTCCGCGCTTTCGGTGTACAAGAAACCGAAGGGACCAACTCGGTAGTTCATCGACGCAACGATGATGTTTTGCCGGGCGGCTAAGAATCGCCCCTCATACACACTGAGGCTGGATGTTCCCATGTAGAAGCTACCTCCGTAAATCCAGAGCTGAAAGTACAGAATAAAATGAACACCTCAGTTGTACTTCTGACTATCGCTGCTAAAAACCATCTGATAAAGAAAAATTTGACATGCAGATTGCATTTCTTTAAATAATGTACCAGCTTTTACACCGCCTCAGCAAAGCTTCCTATATAAAAATCTTTATACTTTTCCTCTGAGAATCGTTTTAACCCTTTTTCTTGTCATTCTGAGTTTAGCATTCTCTTACATTTCTCCATGAGCACACCATAAATAAGAGCCGCTAGATATCCCTAAATCGCACATTGGATTTGGGATGGAGATCATAAAGTGATCTACTCGAAACGTTAAAGATTCACGTCAAGAGAGAAGTATGAATACGCCTCCGAGAACTGGGCTCCAATCAGTAATCTTGATCTGCCCCAGAATCGAAGGACGGAAACCGATTGAATACCGCTGTAACCTCGATGCAATCCATTTGGCAAGTTTCCTCAACACAAGGCTAAAACGCGCAAGTCTGTACTTTATCACGGCTGAAACACGCACAATGAAAAGCTACTACGTGCTGTAAAACGCTACTGTTTAAAAATTTACTGCTCCTGTTGTCTAGAGCGGCAAGCACCTCAGTGAAACGATGAGAAAAACAGGGGATAAGCAAGTATTTCAATAGGGGTATCCCATGAGGACATAGACGAAAGTTAACCGCTTGGAACAATCACGATAGCATGATTAGGTGGACCGATTCATTGAGGCAAAAGCCAAGTATCTAAGTGACATAGCCTTTATCTTGAACAGAAAATTTGTGGTTTGTCGGCCTTTGACTCTACTAACACTGTTAGTGCATTAAAAGTACGTAAGGGACGCGTCACACAAATCCATGGAAGGTGACTCATCGAGTATTGCACTGACTGCGGCAAAACGTTGTACCTAGAAACTTTACATATTACATAATACCGTTGCTGGTGTCTGTCTCCAAATAAGTGATTAAGACATCTATAATGTTAAGAGGACCCAACTTCCTCACAATGATCACAAACAAAGGCAAGGAGACTCGATTCAGAGAAGTACACATTTTGGCTATAGAATTTAAGACTGGTAGCTCAGGTTGTTCAGATGGCGGTTGAACTGCTCGCTGAACTTGGCAATTTGTTGCAAACGTTTCGTCACCGATCGAGGTGACGTCATCGGTGCATAGTTGAGTGGCTTGCAGTAGCGTAGAGAAACCTCTGTGAGAGTGCGCTGAGCGTGGTGTGCGTGCGTTTTTATGCCTCCGTGGTTGGTCGTGGAGTCGAGCAATCCTATTGGTTGGGACTTCGATCCGCCTCCAGCTTGGTTGATGAGCAGATGAGCTTTGACCTTGCCTCTTTGTTTCGTGGCCTTTGTCTGTTTGCTCTTGCGAGTGAGTCTGCCGGCAGTTCTGATTGTCTAGGCACACATTCCACTGGATTCAAGCAATCGAGCTGGCGGTCGTTCATCAGTAATGTGGCGTATACGGCGACCAGTTCGATGTGTTGATTGATTGAATGGTTTATAGAGTACCAGGCTTCCAAAAAACCCCTCGCGTGCTTTGTGCTTCCATACGCTAGGATCCTTACATTCTCCAGATCGAAATGGTGGCCTTCTTGATCTTCATGCCCAGAAACCAATGAGTGCGGATCATGCCTTCTGACGACCACCTTGTGTTCGGTGATTCAGGTACAAAGCTTTCTTCCAGTTTGTCTGACGTAGCTTTTTTCGTAATCGCTGCATTTTATCTGGTAGATGACATTGCATTGTTCGGCATGATTAACTTTTCCTTTGGGTCTATGGATCAATTTCCTTAGGGTGCCACTTGGCTTATGAGACACCGATATTCCATGTGACTGCAGCAATCTTCCCGTTAGTTCGGAGAGGTTCTTGATGTAGGGGAGTCCTATCCGCTTGTTTCTTGATCACATGACTGCTGCTGTTGTTTCTGAGGCATTCGTTTCTGTAAGCTTCTTTCAGTGAACTTTCGCGAATAACCGTTGTTTCTAAACACCAGATATAGGTGATTTTCTTCTTGTTTCCGCGATTCGGCTGTGCTGCAGTGCGTTTCCGCTCTTTTGAACAGGGTTTGAATGCAGCAGTTCTTGTGATTCATCGGGTGGTTGCTGTAGTAGTCTAACATCTGGTCAGTATGCGTTTTTTCCGATATACACACGTTCCCAGAGATCCGTCTGTATTCCTAGTGACCAATACATCCAAAAACTGTGACTTGTTATCTTCCTCTAATTCAATCGTAAATTTGATATCCTCGAACTTGCTGTCGAACAAATCGTGCGTGGCCTGTACTCTGTTCCGTTTTACGATGACAAACCTGTCCTCCACGTATCGTATCCAGAGTTTTGGGCTCATAGATGGCAGTGTACTTCGCTCCAATTTCTGCATTACGTCTACTGCAATGAGCCCCAAAATTAGTGATCCCATGGGCGTTCCTCTCAGTTGATGGTACACTTGTCCATCAAAGCGGAAATAAGTGGTCATGCAGAGGTTCAGGAGTTCCCAAAAAGTTTCAGGTCGTATGGTTGTCGTGGGCTTAGTTGATTCTTAAGTAGTTCAGTCATGGTTTCTTTGGTCAGTTCGTGACCGATTGAAGTGAAGAGTGCGGTGACATCGAATGAAAGCATTATTTCGTCGTCTTCTATTCTGACACTCCGCAGTTGGTTGAGGAATTGTACAGCATTGTTGATGCTGTGTTCGGATCCGGCAACCAAATGTTTCAACTTCCTCCACAAGTCTTTCGATAGTTTATATCATGGGGTACCGGGGGGTCAAGACGGTTGGTCGTAGTGAGACTCCATCCTTGTGTGCTTTTGGTAGTCCATAGAACAGTGTAATGTTTGTATCGTCAGCTTTCGTTCTCTATCTTTCCGCGGCGATGAGCTCATTCTTTGTTTGTAGTTTCTTCAGTGTTGCGTTGATCTGGTTGACCAGTTTTGAACTTGGATCTTGATCGATCTGGCGATATGTAGTTGTGTCGGATAGCAGTTCTTTGGCCTTGTTAGTATACTCCGGTTTGCCCATTATTACTGTCATGCGCCCTCTATCCGCCGGTAGGCGTACAATGTTCTCATCTTTCTGTAGACGTCTGAGTGCATCCTATTCCTCCTTGGATAGGGTCTGGGTCCCTTTATTCCGAATAAGCACTGGGACAACGATCTGCCGTATCTGTTGCTAGGACTCTTCCGACAGTCCATTTGATTTCAGTGCATGTTCTAAGCTAGCCAAGTAGTCTTTGAGGCAAGCATCTTTGACGTTGAAGTTAAGCTCCTTAATCAACACATCCGCTTCAGTTGCAGTGAAGTGGTGGCGGGGAAGGTTTTTGATCCATTCTACTCTGATAGGACAGTCATTTCTCTTAGTCAGTTTGTCTAACTTTGTGTATAATGAAATCTTTCGTCGGTTCTTTGTGCTTTTGACTCGACATTCAGTTGAGGATTCCTGCTCTATTCGTAGCTGTGGATCAATAGTAATGAGGCAATTGGTTCTGTTGTCGGTTATGACTTTTCCATATTTGCGTAGGCGGTTGTGGGCATCTGTTATCATCAGTTTGACCATGCGGCTCCCGTATTGTTGGGCCAATTTCCAGACGGCCAGATGGTTTAGCGCCGGTCTGTGGTTTGTACTCGCTGGCAACACGTTCTTTATCAGACATTCATGAAGGAAGTAGAGCTGTTCGCATGTGCAAGCTTGTCGGCAGGCAAAGGTTTCCTACCGACGAGCTTGTTGTAGCCTTGTAGCCCCGAATTGGTTGGCTATAGAAGTGAAGACTGGTCGCTCAGCTTGTTCAGATGGTACATGTTTCGATCAGCCTTCCAACTCGTGAGACATTCACGTTGCGATTGGCCTTTGTGCCTCAGAAAACATTCCTGTTTCCGGCCAACGTCTGCAATCATAAAACATCCAGTCTTTTGTTAACCAAAGAAACATTCAGTTGTTTAGTCCAGCCTCTGCGTCTACCAACATTCAGTTTTCAACATGTTCTGTCGGCATATTTGCATAGTGCCAATTCACTTGTTTTCAGGGTATGCTTACGCAAACCATTGGTGCCATAGAGGTATAAAAGAAACGCTGAACTGCGCTGTAATTGCCCTGAGCCTGGCCGGTTAAAGTGCCTATTAGAAAGGCCTATCTTTTAGTCTTCTTCTGTCGGGTTGGGTAGCTGAGTGTAAAACTGCGTTCTGTCTAGGAGCCCGTTCAACTCGTGCGTAGTAACCGTGTTGTGCCTAAGTTTCACTGGTCTCAAAATTTGGAATTTTGTTAGTTACTTTGTCTGCGTGAAATAATTCCAAGCCACATTCATTCGGCCGACTAGGAGAGTTGATACCAGATCGTCCAAGTGTGGCGTAACTAAGAGGTATGTGTAACAAACTGGCGACGGGTTGCTTTAAACCATGGAGATGGCATACAATGATTTTAAGTCGCTGTCTCAACAATGGCTCAAGTTGATGTCTGCCTTAACAGAAAAATTTTCCAGTTCTTCCAATCAGTCAGGTCCTGCTGGAAACTCTCCATCGGTTGACAACATCGCTAGCAGTATCTCGGAGTTTCTGTACAATCCTGGCGCACATGTCACCTTCGATTCTTGGTATAAGCGTTCCGAGGACCTATTCACCGTTGACCTGGCTTGCCAAGATAACGCGTGGAAGATCCAGCTGCTTCTACGCAAACTGGGCACGGTCGAGCACCAACGGTATACCAAGTTTATATTACCAAAGAAGACCCGCGACCTTACTTTTATCGAGACGGTCCTCACGTTGTTGCAGATTTTTGGCGAAAAGTCCTCGCTGTTCAACACCCGGTTCCAGTGTCTGCAGCTGACCAAACGGGATGTCGATGATTTAATCACGTATACGGACACCGTTAATCGGGAAAGCTAACGATTCCAACTTGGTTCCCTCATAGAAGACCAGTGCAAGTACCTGCTATTCATTTCTGGCCTCCAAGCCAGCCAAGATGCCGACATCCGAACGCGTTTTCTGTCTAAGTTGCAGCAGGACAATACGGTCACTCTCCAGAACTTGGTAGATGAGTGTCAAATGTTGAGCAAGCTGAAACGTGACTCCGCGATGATTTTGAATTTTAGAACCATGAGTAAGCTACTTTTTAATAGAGTATGCTTATTCCATGAACTGAATGTTGTGTTCACGTGCTTCGCGGTTTTTGAGTCGCGTAAAGATTGTCGTGAACCCGCCGCCCTGTAAACCTTGTCCCTGAAAGAGTGGCAATATGGTCCTTGTATGTTCTAAGCACGGTGGGGATCATTCTGTGGCAACCACCACCATATTCACAGTCGATAATTCGCTTCTGTGAAAGAAAAGGTACAGTTAGGTTCCGAGCAGTTGTATTACCGTACAAATACTATGCTTCGAAGTTGTCATCCAGGACACTGGGTTCAAATTCTATTTCGAATAGTTCAACTTGTTTCAATAAAGCAAGAAGAAATAACATTATAACAGAATTTACTGAATTCAGTAATTTCGCGTATTCTCCTCAGCTGTTTACATACAATGAGTGGCCGGTGGCCGAGTGGTCTGCACGTTTAATCCCCGTTTACTACAGTTTGCGGAGGCGGCAGCAATTCGGCGGCTGAAGCCAAAGCTATGCAGGCAAACGGATTTCGTGACCACGCTAGCCCTACCTTGGTGAGGCTAGCGATTGCGTTTTCCTCGGAACAGGTCACGTGAGCCTAAAGACCTTCGACCGCTTTGAAATTTTTGCTGTTAACAACGCACTGTTTTCCACTCATTGTATGTAAACAGCTGAGGAGAATACGCGAAATTACTGAATTCAGTAAATTCTGTTATAATGTTATTTCTTCTTGCTTTATTGAAATTCGTGAAGGGAAATGCCTGCATGAAAGTTCAACTTGTGATGGAAGCAGTAACCAATCTTCCGGTGGAAACGATATGAAACGGATCCAACCATACACAAGCTAATATGCTGAACGGACACGGTCACATTCACTTCCCCAAAGGAATTTCACAATGAGTTGCTGTCCAGTGCACGTCGTGCACTCACGAGAAAATGTCTTATCTGGCGTGGGGTCGGCCAACCGGACTATGATCTGTTCAGGCCGATCAAATGTAAGGGCTAGTCCAGTACACTTCTGGTGGCCCATATGTGCTGCCTCTTATACTCATTGCATGAGCTAACTTCGTCATGTTCCACCCACCCCGAAGGCAAGCAACCAGTATGTCGGACGGCAGAGTGGGTTGCTCTGCAAATGCGATTAAGAATGGATGGGTTTGTCAAAGGTGACCATTTAACACCGTATTCATGGCAAGAGTGTCATTTGTGTGGGGCTGTTTGGGAACTAGCTGTTGGCGATTTCTTGTTAGAGTAGGGATCAATTTGTAGCTAACGTAGGAAGACACTTGACGGCCAGACCAAGCGAGTGTCGCTCTGTGAGTCAACGGCTTTGGCGACGTGGGAGAGAGAAATAGTATAGACTACATAGTGCACTGCTCATTACTAAGGACAAGACTAGAACCAGCCACACGTATTAAAAACGGTACCATTGCGCAATTGCTTGCATCCTCAATGCAATGGTTTTCATCCGTAGTGCACCGGCTTTCAAGCTTAGCGCAGAAACTATGATCCGACAGTCTCGAAAATTGCATCCACGACGCCCTCAATGGGTCAGCTGTCCGCTGGCCTCAAACAGACATCTCGCTTGTTCACTCAAGCCCTCTTCGTGAAACCGTTTTGACGCTAGTCACGACGAGCTAGATGAAGCCAGGAGGCGGGATCCAGTGGTTCGGACATATTCACTACTATGTCTGCGTTCGTCCGGAACCGTGCTGACTTCGCCTAATCTTCACATCCCAGGCTTTTAGGTATGGAGCCAGTTCGTGATTAAGCCCCTTCTTCCGTCCCTTTAATGTCTAATACTGGTGCGTACCTAGACGAGCAGATGGCTTGAGTGAGCATACGGGATATCCGTTTGAGGCGACTTGACAGCTGACTTACTGACAGCCTCGTGGATGCAATTTTCAAGACTATCGGATTATAGTTTTTGTGGTAAGGATGAAAGCTGCTGCGCTACGGATGTATGCGATTACGTTAAGGATGCGATCAATTGAGGAATAGTGTAGATGTTCTGAACAAAGTAAGGCTAAGTTCCCCGTTACACAGCACTGTGAGTGTAAGGTATCAGTGTCGTAACTATCCATTCGGCTAGGTAATAGTGCATGCCCATTGCACGTCCCCAACATAATTTAATTGTCGACTTACAAACGAGTAAGCCAGACGTTCGCATTACATCCATTTAGAGAGCTACGAGCAGCTCACAAACGGTCAGCATGATTGCTTGCACACGGTCAGTCACTGCGAGCATTTGGCATAGTTCGCAACCGACCCAGTAAGTAATGATGAATGGATGGGTATTGAAGCCCAAATGGATACCCTGCTCGATATTCCAGAGACTGTTTGTAGCAATCATGATATTAGCATCTATTACTATCGCAGCTATCCACAGTACCGACGCTTTCGTACAACTGTGCTTATTGGACCCCCAAGCTGCCGATCATCTTGTTGTTCTCTTCTGCGCAATGAAGGCCGTATAGTTCCTTGTTGTTGTCCCTGTCTTCCTTCCTCTGGTGTTTGAATCACTTTGCACCGCTTGTGTATCCTGTGAATTAGTGAGTTATTTGCAGTGAATTTGTTCACAGTTCATCGGCTTTTGGTCTTAATAGTTATTGAGTGCACTCAAAAGTAGGAGAGTTCGGCATTTGTATACTTCGCGAGTACAGCATGGTTGCTGATGAAAAGTGTAACGACCTTCAGGGAATAGTTGATTAGCCTACAGGTAGACGGATCCAGCTATACATTCGCCATATACCAGGGAAAGGATTTGGCAGTCTTCCCTACTGCTCGAATTCTGATGGCAATGTTGTAACTTATTACAAGTTTGGGAATCATTAGATTGAGTTATGTGTGGTGGCGAGCTATCGCGATATTTACTGTTGCTCGGCGGCAGTGTTTCGCTTTGTTTATTTGTTTGACTTGTTCCGTTCGTCTAGTCAATATATATATATATATATATATGATGTGCTGGCAGGCTATAGTCAGTCGATTATGATTTACTTCGACTGAGTGCGGCGTGTAGAATACTATAGTGACTCCAGTTTGGCTGTTGATTTTGGCGGTTATTTATACGATAGCGGTTGGCGCAGTAAACTTATCAAATGCCATTTCAGCGAAACGATTCCACCAATAAGCTGTGTCATCAGATAAGAGCTATAGCAATCAAATCGAGAGCTACAAGCTTACCATGACAGCCAGTTTTTCATTTGGTTGTGACGCAGAATCTAATGGCGCGGAGGGAACCCAAATATTCAGAAATAAGCAGTCTTCAGACATGGGCGTGTTGACCTGCCACATTCGAGCAGCTGGACAGTCCTTAAAGAAGGAAGTAAAAGCACAACTTTGAGCAGAGCTTTGGTATGGACAACATTAAAGGACATGGTTAAATTGGAGAGGGGGGGGGGAATATTTTATTTGTCACTTCTCCATAAGGTTTAGTGGACCTTATAAAATATGCTATAAAGGGCACCGGTTAGCTATAAGTATAGCTCTTCAGGTGCTATTCTGATGGAATTTAGGCAGGAGTGAATAGGAAACAAATCGCTAAGTAATTAACAACACTTTATCATGTGCAACAGAGCATGGAGGTTGGACACTTCCTTAAATTGTGGTGTTGCGGTGGTCACACGATCACTAGAGTTAGGGAGCTTGTATTTCGAGGGGCTCCACCGACTCCTTCAGATGTTCGCCCCGTGTGGGAAGTGCTAGACGCCGTGTTCTCTTATCGAACTTCAACAATGACAACTATTTCCGCTCAGCCGTATGTGGAGTAATGTCACCGCTAAAAAAGTAACAACACAAATCAATAAACAATGCATGGTGGTTGCAGCCATCAGGTCGAAGTTTAAGGTACTGTGTGATGCGATCTGCCATCCGCTTCATTGCTGTTTGGTGTCTTGCGTGGGAACGAATATTTGTGTGGGTCAAGGTTTGTTGTGACAAGCTCCCATCCACGATGCGTTGTTCTAAATGAACGGGCGATTACTGATCGTTAGCAAGTAGTTCAACAATTTTTAATATTTTAGGTGATTTTGTTAGTATGACATGCACATAAAAGTGGCCGAGTGTCGATTGTTATGTTTACTGATGAGCCAGACTAGGGATGAGCCAGTTCAGATTGTTCAGTTTATTCCTCTTAGCGAAGTGACACATCGTGAGCGGAAACCTGTACGCACTACCCGGACCCCGGATAATAGCTTAGTCAGCGAACAACGTTCAAATGAGGTCTTTCTGGTATAGGAAAGGTTTTGCTAACCGCTGCGGTTGAACTGTGAGTTTGGCCTCTGTAAATCGTCCTAGTAGAGTATGCAGAACTTATTCTCGCTCACTAGAATGCAGCGTCGTCTAACACGCTTGGAAAAATCCGATCTGTCCACGAGACTCTTTTAGACACATCCACCTACTCCAGCGGCTTAGAGAGCAACGCTACTTCAAACGATCGTATGCGCTTACTCCGATTGCCGATGTGACAACAGCGTCAAAGAGACTGGCGACATTTTCAATGAAAAGGTTTAACTGACTGCGATCTAAACGACATTATTCGTTTGCCATCTATCTCAACATATCGATAGCGATTACTGGCGTCCTGTTACCTTTCCCGTCGCAGGATTCTTTCTTGGTGTGTTCCTCGTTAAATTCGTATTAGTTCGTGCAAACCTCGGCAGCATTCAGCTTCATAGATTATTCTTCCATGTTTGGATTAAATTTCATACGGCAGCTTCCTGCATAGTTGGGAACTTCGTTTTACAAATTACTCCTTATCATTTTACGTCACTTTTAGATCATTTTTCCAAGTTCCTTCAAATCTGGTGCAGCCATGGTCGCAGTCCACTGCATCTATGATGTGGTATGACATAGGGTGATGCAGATGGTGGCCGATATGTTTAACTGAGAGCAGATATATACACATGGTCACGCAAATTGGTCTAGATTCCAGCGGAGGTTGCTTGTCTTCCTCTGAAAATTTATTCCCCGCCATCCTAAGTGTTCAGGAATCACGACACTAACTGAGGCTGAGGATCCACTGACTGTGCTCTGTGAGTTAAGCGGCCATAGAAAACTAAACAACAGAGACAGTCTTAAAACAACCAGCAGGTTCTGGCCGCTGATCAACACAAGGACAGGGCAAGCAAGGCGTGAGGTCGCCTTCCCTCAGCAGGAAACGCTTCGACTGATAACAAAAACGATCAAATCTGATGGTTTTTCACAATTGTTAGTCCATCGGTCCAATTTCTCAGACACACTAGGATTACAACGTTGTTTTACAGAGCCTGGTTGATAGGCACCTCTACGTGGGTGAAGAGGGAGTGAAATTGGGTCAACTCATCCTCATCAGCATAAGCACCATAAGGAAAGACTGACCTATTGCGGGTAACTTTCGCCGACGAAGCCAGTCCAAAGCTAATAATGTCACTGATGAGTTGGCTGAGAGGTAACAGGGTACACATTCGTTCGGATATGGATTCAGCTGACGAACTGTGGCTCAGGTGTTCCACCATTGAGCTAAAGCGATGAGCCGGTGAGGGAGAAACGTAGCGATGTACTACGTATTTTCCGGTGCTTAAAACCCGAAAGCGAATACGGATGAATCGCTTGCTCACTCTTCCGAAACTCCCGGCAGTTCCTACCACAGTCGGTGTACAGCCTTTACCAACGTCTGCTTGAAGAGCTGTGCCGTTTCCTTGCTTCTGAACGACCAAACGGAGTGGAATTCGCAGAGAAGAACCATCTTTGAGAGATGCTCACCCAGGAAGATGGACTTAATGTCTACTCATGCTTCTTCTGTGATAGACTGTCATAACACAGAGTTGGCGTAGTGTTCTACATCCAGCCTTCTGTGTGAGAGACCTGTGGGCGCCTACCGAAGTGACAACGGTAGATGTGAACACCGGTGGTGTTTGATCGACGGCGTACGCAGAAAGCTGCTCTTGAGTTCAGTTCATCGCAGTCCCCTCTGCCATTGTTTGGACTGCCTACCTCATATCCAAAACTGCATGATTCGCTGACCGGGTGGTTTCAATTGTCATCCAATACACTGGCTTGAAGTTCAACTTATCCACGGGCATTTTAAGGTCGAAGGAAAGTTTGTGTAATCGATAGTTTAAACTGGGATGCCACTAGAAATCTGACAACCTATACGCGTAACACCAATATCGAATCCGTCGTGCCTAGACTTGATGTTAACAAACTGTGAACAACATTTGCATAAAGTGCAGGTCTTAGAAATCCTAGCAGGAACCGAGCACTCAGTGCTCAATACCGGCATGGATCTCTCTGTATCAAATTCCTGTCCGTCGCAGCCAGCTTACAACTACTGGAAAACTGACTTCGACGGTCTGACTCGAGTTGCGCGCCAAGTGGATTGGCCTATGCTGCAAGCTACATCTGTGGAAGACTGTTGGACCGTTATGAAGGTAGGTGGCATTAGTTTGTTCTGGGTTTGTGCTAGTAAAATGTCAGAAAGTTGGACCAGTCAAGCCGCATTGGTTCGACAAAGACTATGATAAAATGGCTTGGCGGCGGCGCAAATTGTGGGAAAAAATTCCGGCTCCTCCAATGAATACGAGGCGTATAAGAGGCAGCGAAATATTGTTAATAGTGCGAAAACGAGTAAGCGCTTTTATTTCGAACTGTAGCTCGTAACTACCACCAACGCCGCCTCAAAGAGCATCTTTGTTTGCGTGAAGCGGCGCCTGAAGCTGGTAGGTAACTTACTAGTACCAGAGGGTTTGGACAGACAACCCCTAACCTCCAGAACTGAGCGTGCGTCCTCGTCGGCAACGCATTTTGCTTCCTGGTTTGCAATTGACCAGATGTCTGTACCGAATTTGAGGCGTAGCGCTTTTACTGAATTGAATAGTCTGATTTGCGGTGTTGGAAAGGTGCGTTAATCACTCGCCAATCTTGAGGGCACCAAACCCGCTGGGCTTGCAAAGCTCCGCCTAGTGATTCCCTAGTACCTACTGGGCAGAATCACGTTTGTCATGACTGACCTATTCAACTGGTCACTGTCAGGAGGTTCGTTGTCGATTTATAAAAGTGCTCAGTGATATACCCGATTCCGAAGATCCGTGACACCAGCAAAGTAGACAATCACAGACCGATTCGTTTGACTTCACTTGTGAGCAAAGTAAACAAGCAGATCGTGAAAATAGCAGTTGCTAAGGCTGTTCTGGTCAGAAGAGATCTTAACGCCTGCACAGGACAGTTGCATGTCAGGTTGTTGCTGCGCTAACAACCTGACATGACTAAATGTCTTGGCTTGGGTTACATGTGTGTGCCCATTAAAAGTGATCTCAACTGCTCAAAACAGGATGAGGCACCTGAGTGAAGTGGCGACGACACGTCGGCCTGCTCCGGAGGGTATTCGGGAGTTTGGACACACCAATGTTCCCGAAAATGCACAATTTTTACTTGCGCCCTCAAGTTGAATATTTCATCCAAGCTTTGTAACCTTGGTTGACGCGCGACATTGGGGTGCAGGAGGAACCACAAAGCAGGGTAACAAAAAAGTCAAAGATTTACTCAATCTCTCCTACCAGCTAAGACTGGAGTTTTTGGGAGTTTTACACGAATGCTACCGACTGCAACGTCGTGACCTCACTGTAGCGCAGCAAATATTGAGCGACCCCAACCACCTATGCCACCAGTTCCTGAAACTCAACCACAACACCAAGCTCATGTGCAACTGCCTGAAACTGAGTGAACAATACAACCGCCTAGAAGGTCGGCGGAATTACTTATCTCTTCCAAGTTGCCAACCTTGGAACACTCTCCCAAACTCAGTTATCGCCTCGTCTATTTTGAATATTTCCAAAAAAACGACTGGATGCTGCCCTTGGCTCCGTCAATGCGTTACTAAAGCTGTGCTACTTGCAAATATGTTAGCCATGCTGTCATCTCGGATTAATGTGTCACACGGACCGAAGGAGACGGCGCACGAGTGAGCGTTCTTATTTTTATTTTGTAACCTCAGTAAGAAGACGAGGACTGGCAAATGCACGCATTTCGTATTGCCTCATCAATGCCTTTAACAATAACTTGCAATAATATTCATTCAGTGAAGGGTACGACCAAACATGATTGGCAGCGTCCGGTTTCGGATTTGCCTGTCACTGAGGCCAGCCACAGGACGCCTGCGCTTACAGAGACACCATGGGTGGCTTGCGCTGCACTACGCACAGCTCCAACCACACACCCCATATCCAATGTAAACCCGAAGGAATAACACCGGGAGGCATGTGGATGGGAGCCACGCTTCAACAACGGAGCCGGCCCACACTCCTTCACAGGTAAACACAAGCACACTGTATTTG